GATACCATAATTTTTTTCTGCAGAGTAGTATTCCATTGTGTAGATGTGCCACATCTTCATTAACCATTCTTCAATTGAGGGGCATCTAGGTTGCTTCCAGTTTCTTGCTATTTCAAATAGTGCTGCTATGAACATAGTTGAACAGATGTCTTTGTTGCATGGATGTGAATCCTTTGGGTATATGGCTAAGAGGGGGATTGCTGGGTCCTGTGGTAAACTAATTCCCATTTTCCTGAGAAACCGCCATACTGATCTCCAAAATGGCTGTATGAATTTGCACTCCCACCAGCAGTGGAGGAGTGTTCCCCTTTCTCCACATCCTCTCCAACATGAGTCATCATTGGTGTTTCTAATTTTAGCCATTCTGGCAGGGGTAAGATGGTATCTCAAAGTCGTTTTGATTTGCATTTCCCTGATAGCTAAAGATGTGGAGCATTTTCTTAAGTGTCTTTCAGCCTTTTTGATTTCCTCTATTGAGAAATCTTTCTTCAGTTCTGTACCCCATTTTTTAATAGTGTTATTTGGTGTTTTGTTGACTATTTTCTTGAGTTCTTTGTATATTTTGGAGATCAGCCCTTTGTCGGATACATGATTAGTGAAAATCTTTTCCCAGTCTGTGGGCTGCTGTTTGGTCTTCTCCACTGTGTCCTTTGCCTTACAGAAGCTTCTAAGTTTGAAGAGGTCCCATTTATTAGTTGTTTCTCTCAGTGTGTGTGCCCCTGGATCTTCAAAGTATGACCTGAAAATTGTCTGGATTTCCTCTGTGTCCGTTATTATGTTCACCTTTTCATTTCTGATTTTGTTAATTTGCATGCTTTGTCTCTGCTGTTTCATTAATTTAGATAAAGGTTTGTCTCTTGTTGATTTTCTCAAAAAACGAACTCTTTGTTGCATTGGTATTTTTTGTATTGTTTTCCTGGTTTCTATTTTGTTGATTTCAGCCCTCAAGTTGATTATTTCCTGGCGTCTACTCCTACGGGGTGAGTTCGCTTCTCTTTGTTCTAAGGCTTTCAGTTGCACTGTTAATTCTCTTATGTGACTATCCTCTGTTTTCTTCATATGGGCACTTAGTGCAATGAACTTCCCTCGTAGCACTGCTTTCAAGGTGTCCCATAAGTTCTGATATGTTTTGTCCTCATTCTTGTTGGATATTAGAAAATCCTTAATTTCTTTATTTCTTCTTTGACCCAGGAGTGGTGCAATTGCACATTGTTCAGTTTCCATGAGTTTGCAGGTTTTCTGCTATTTGTGTTGTTGTTGAATTCCAATTTTAAAGCATGGTGGTCCGATAAGATACAAGGGACTATTCCTATTCTCTTGTATCTGTTGAGGTTTGTTATGCCACCTAGTATGTGGTTGATTTTAGAGAAGGTTCCATGTGGAGCAGAGAAGAAGGTATAGTCTTTTGTCTTTGGATGGAATGTTCTATAGATGTCTGTTAACCCCAGTTGAGACATAACCTCTGTTAATTCTTTTGTTTCTTTGTTGAGTTTCTGAGTTGTGGTTCTGTCTAGTGTTGAGAGTTATGTATTGAAGTCTCCCACTATAAGTGTGTGAGGTTTTATATGAGCTTTGAGTTTTAGTAGTGTTTCTTTTACGAATGTGGGTAACTTTGTATTAGGGGCATAAATGTTCAGAACTGAGACTTTGTGTTGATGGATTTCTCCTGCAATGAATATGAAATGACCATCTTCATCTCTTTTGATTAATTTTGGTTTGAAGTCTAACTTGTTAGATATTAGGATAGTTATGCCTGCTTGCTTCTTATTTCCATTTGATTGGAAAATCTTTTCCCAACCCTTTACCCTGAGATAATGTCTATCTTTGAAGCTTAGATGTGTTTCTTGTATGCAGCAGAAGGATGGATTCTGTCTTCGTATTCATTCTGTTAGCCTGTGTCTTTTTATAGGTGAGTTAAGACCATTAATGTTGAGGGTGAGTAAGGACCATTGATTGTTGATGCTTGTTTGATTTAGGTTTGTTGTTGGCAGTGTTATTGTGAATATAATTAGTTCTGCTTTCCCTTGGTTTCTGGTGTAGTTGGATTATCTGTTGCCTACATTTTTGTGGGCATAGTTACCTTCCTCTGGTTGGAGTTTTCCTTCCAATACATTCTGTAGGGCTGGATTTGTAGATACATATTGGGAAAATCTGGTTTTGTCATTAAATATCTTGTTCTCTCCATCTATATTGATTGAGAGTTTTGCTGGATATAGTAGCCTAGGCTGGCATCCGTGTTCTCTTGATACTTTTAGAGCATCTATCGAGGACCTTCTGGACATGAGGGTTTCCATGGAGAAGTCAGGTGTAATTTTGATAGATCTGCCTTTATATGTTACCTGTCATTTTTCCTTCACTGCTCTTAATATTCTTTCTTTATTCTGTATGCTAGGTGTTTTAATTATTATATGTCGAGGGGTCTTTTTTCTTTTGTCCAGCTTATTTGGGGTTCGGTATGCTTCTTGTACTTTCATGGGAATGTCCTTCTCCAGATTTGGAAAAGTTTTCCTTGATGATTTTGTTGAATATGTTTTCAGCACCTTTGAGCTTGGCTTCCTCACCTTCCTCTATGCCTATTATTCTTAGGTTTGGCCTTTTCATGGTGTCCCACATTTCCTGGATGTTTTGTGTTAAGGATTTGTTGGATTTATGATTTTCTTTGGTCAATGAATCTAATTCTTCTAGTTTATCTTCTGCGCCTGAGATTCTCTCTTCCATCACTTGAATTCTGTTGGTTATGCTTGGGTCTGTAGTTGCCGATTTTTTGCCCAATTTTTCTATTTCCAGCATTCCTTCAGTTTGTGTTGCCTTTATTTTCTCTATTTTAGTTTTCAAGTCTTGAACTGTTTCCTTCACCTGCTTAATTGTTTTTTCTTGGCTTTCTGTACTTTCCTTAAGGAATTTGTTCATTTCTTCCACTTTTTTGTTTGTTTTTTCCTCCATTTCTTTAAGGGATTTTCTCACATCTTCTTTGAGGGCCTCTATCATTTTTATGATGGTAATTTTTAAGTTGTTCCCTTCTGCTTCCTCTGCTTTGTTGTTGTGTTCCGTTCTAATTGGTGTAGATTCTCTAGATTCTGATGGTGCCATGCTTGTCTTTCTTTTGTTAGGTGTTTTCTTGTATTGCCTTCCTCCCATAGCTTCTTCCAGTAGGTGTTGGTGTGGTCTCCCCTTCTCTCTATGGTACTTCCCCGGTGGGCTTAATGTGGGTCAGAGATATAATATCTGTAGCTCTGTGTGGTCCAAGCTGTCTAGGAGTTCTCTCCACAGACAGGGACCCAAGGATGGGGTCAGGGCTGAGGATCCAGTAGAAGATGCCACGAGCCAACAGCTCTAGCCAATGGCTGGCAGAAGAAGACAGAGGCTGAGCTGAAACTTGGGAAGGTTTTGCAGGATAGTCAGATCTCACTGGAAACTGGAACTCTCCAGCTGAGGCCTCTTTCTTTTGCAGAGGCCCGGATTTGGGGGTCAAGAATATTGCCAGCAGGATCTCAGAGTGGACCTGCAGAGATAGGTGGATCTCTGGGGAGGGGCCTGGGACTGCAGCAGAGGACTGGAGGTGGGGTCAGAGACCAAGCAGGTGGAAATTATGGGTGGTCCTGTGTGGATAGGCAGGTCTCCTTTGTTCAGAGTTGCTTGGAGAAATCTTAGAAGTAGAGTGGACTTTTGGCTCCACCCTCTGTCCCAGTGCTCATACAGAGCAGCAGGAAAGTGGGCAGGGTAGGGCACGGGGGGGGGGCAGGATTGCTTTGGGGAATGAGTGGGGGTGTATCAGAGCTCCAAGGGCCCCCTCTCCAAGGGGACAGGACACAGGAGCAGCAGAATCAGAGGCCAACCCAGGGTGTTCGGGGTGGGGTGGTCAAAAGAATTTTATTGTAACATGTGTCTAAAAGGAAAATTAAAATATAAGAATGTATTCATGGTGATGAAAGCAAGAATCAAAAAAAAATTATTAGGTTCAGTTAGCTCTAGAAATATTTGTCCATTGTTTTACAATGATACAATTCATACAGACTTGTTTAGACTCATAAAGTGACTAAAGTCTAGGATGATGATATACTCTAGTTCATGAAAGGCTTCGTGAGACAAGGTCAGAGTACCTCCTGCCCTTCTCCAATGCAGCATCAAGCTAGATACTCTTCCTCACCATGCTTTGCTCCATGGTAGTCAGTGTCTCTTCCCTTTCATCCCTATCCATCTCTACAAACCATTTCACATGTCACTTGACATGAACATGAAAGCAGTCATGCTGACTAGTTATTGTCCCACTACACACACCAGGAAAGGAAACACAGTATGAAATGTTTTGTATGTATAAGTGATATATAAAAGCTGGAAACATAAGCCATTCTCACTTCAACTTTAGAATTTTCTTTTCGACATTGCAACTGCACCAGGGAATAGTGAATACTCACTTTAAACTGTCAACCTACCATTGATTATTGTCTGTTTCTATAATTGCAAGTGAACATCTGTCTTCTTTATTCAAAATTGTCTCAAATTACAATTACAATACTCACTCAGTTCTTGGTAGCTTCTTATATATTGGTCTAATTTTAGGCAACTGGGAGAGTATAGCACATTGGGATAAAAAAAAAAGAAGAAAGAAAAAGAAAAAACAAGGTCCTATTTGGAACACTGACACATAATACCACCATTACCCTTCATGTGGAATTTTAATTTTCAAAGCACAATTTCTTCATTTGTAAAATTAGACCAAACTTATCTGTTCTGTTTTTCTTACATAAGTTCTTTTTTGTTGTTGTTGTTAGCCAAAGTTATAATTAAAGAAGAAGCCTCTAGAGACATTATAATTCAAGATAATATTGTCATCTTATCTTAGCCAAGTAATCTACTCACTGTGCCTGATATGATGTAATATGCTATGAAGTTAGAAGACTAAATATAAACCATGTATGATCAATGTCTCATAAAGAACACATAATACTGATAATTATTATCTTTTATTTGACTCATCCTTTCTTCATTGTTTCTCTTAGGACCACTGAGGTTCCTTTCCCAGACAGAATCTATAACAGCCTTCATGGGAGATACGGTGTTACTCAAATGTGAAGTCATTGGAGAACCCATGCCAACAATACACTGGCAGAAAAATCAACAAGACCTCTTCCCAGTTCCAGGAGACTCCCGCGTGGTGGTCTTGCCTTCTGGAGCATTGCAAATCAGCCGCCTTCAACCAGGGGACATTGGAGTCTACCGTTGCACAGCTCGGAACCCAGCCAGCACAAGAATGGGAAATGAAGCAGAAGTTAGAATTTTATCAGGTATTTAAATACTTACCTTATTCTCCACAATAAAATTGCCTAGAAGTGATCATATGTTTTTCTCTGGACACATATTTTCTAAGGGCTACAGATTCTCTATTGCAATGAGTTTCTATTAATATTATTTCTTCTTTAGTTTTGCTAATGTGCTATATGAGATTATAACAGCTGTTCTTGTTTCTGTACACCACTAATTATATAGAGAGAGCATTTCCAATAGTAGAGAGTAAACCTAGGGCTTCAGACATCTTGAGTAAAGGTTCTATCATTGATGTGAATCCGTGCCCACTTCTTACATGTTAAATTTGGAGATAGGGTCTCACTAAATTACCTAGGATAGCCTTTTACTCACTCTAAAGCCCAGACAATCCTTGAAATTGGGAAGTTCTTGACTCATCCTCTCAAATATCAAAGTACAGCTTCTTCCATAACCCAGTCAAGGTCAATTTCCAGGTATGTTTATAAGGGATTATCTAATTGTAACTAACTTCAACTTTAAACTTATTCAAATTAATGGAATATATTTCAGGTCATAAATATCAATGAATAACTGGATTCTACTAAATTCTCATTTAAATAATCAAGTAATTGTGATAGTTTCAGTTTATAAATACTTCAGCCCATATCGTTTTTGCTAATGCCTACATAACAACCATTGGCTATAAAAGCAAAAGTTAATGAAAAAATTCCTGGAAAGAAAATACATAAAGCAAATAGATTATACTGTGAACCACACATGTCAGAATGCTCTTTCCCTATGTATGAGAGAAATAACATTTGCTTCTCTTGAAGATCAAGGAATGTCTAACTATGGGATCTTTATATCAAGAAAGAAGAGTTAAGGAGCAAGAGGAGGTGGACACTTCTGAGAAAACATCACAGATTCTGTGAGACAGCATTAGAAAACAGAGAAAGGGGTGGTTGGAGGGACAAATGAGGAGGAAGGAACTTAAACTGGGAAATGAGACAGGTAGAAAGCATCATGCTGATTGGGCTGAGAACTGACTGAAAACTGCTCCTATGGTAACATCATGAGGGATGGAGTGACCTCTGGGCTCTGACAAAAGCTGGGAAGTGGGACCTGAACAGAGATAGGAAAGCGGCCATGTTATATCTTTATGAAGCCTATATAAGAGAAGACAGTTATTATAGATAACATCAATAGAGGCTTTCCCATGATATTTCATCTTTTCCAGGTGAAAATAATCATTTCTTTCAAAATCAGGAAATTAAGTAACTAAGTTAATTTGATGATTAATGATTTAAGACCCAAAAATTGGGTTTTTCCTTATGAATAATTATGTTTTTAAAGGAGTAAATTAGCAGTAAGCTAATTTACTTTTTTGAAATATCAGCTGAAACACTGTGATGTTTCAAAACATCATGTGCAAAGGACACTATATTATGGGTTAAGGCAGTCTGCCATTGTGGTTGTAAAATTAATTTTATCCGTGGTTCATCACATTTGAATGCTAAGGCTCCCACTGGCCTGCAGAATTATATATGTGCTTTGAGCCATAGGTTGACCCTGAAAGAATTCTTATTTCAGAATTCTTAATGATCTAAATGAATTAGTCAGCTGATACTTCTATCTACTGTTTATTCATTGAACTATACTCAGTTGATGCTGGGTCCTCTACAGACCCAGAGCTATGAACATTCTGTGGCTGGCTGAAATGAGTTTTTTGTTATGTTATAAAATTTTATTTCAAATAAAATATGGACAGTTTTTAATATTTACCTTCTTTGTAACCTTAGAACAGATAATTTTACAATTTCATTTATCATTAATAAGACAATTCTTGTTCATCATTATATTTGATTAAATATTTCTTTTAATTCAAAATTAATTACAGGTTTTCATTAAAATAATCTTAATTTACACAAGACTCAGAAATATTTTTTGTTTTCAATTATGTATAAATTTTATATTTACACTATTGTAAGATTTGTAAAAATGCTCAGTAATATCATGTTCCAAAAGAAGAAATATGTGTTATACAAAAAGCACACACAAAAATCCTCTATTAAGTGGTTATAGTGTTACAAATCTAAGCCCGAAACATGGGAAGGTGATTAGGGAGGCCTGCATGCTTCAGCCAACTTGGACTACACAATGAGCAGCTGGCCAGCCAGAGCTATATAGCTGTATAGACCATTTTCACACAAACAGAACAAGTTAATGACCATCTGATCCTTCAAATGCTGATGCTATTGACTGATCAGAGAGGCAGCTGCTGAAGATTGAGTGGCTTCAGCAAGATCTTCATAGTAAATAGGATTGACATTTGCCACTTGCGGTGATCACTTCCCTTAAGAAAGGTTTTTCAGTAGCAGGGCCTCCTGCTTCATAACATTTTGCTGACTGTGGACCTCTTTTCAGAACCAGAGTCAACCTTTGAAACTCAGCCACGGCTTCATCAGTGAACTGACAGCATGTCCATAAACTTACTTTTCTTCAGATGATAACCTTGACATCTTTTTGTCTCAAAATCTAACCCCTGTGCTTATCCATAAAATCCAGTCTTCTGTCAAGTAGCTCTGTCCAGATACCTTAGCATTTCATTCAGCTCTTCAAGACCCCTGCTGTTTCTAGCTGTTTTACTATTCCTCCCCTATATGAGGTGACTTCATCCAAGTAAAGGTGGAACTCATCAACATCGTCCATGAAAGTTGGAATCGACCTTCTTCATGGCCTTATTCATTCCAACATCATGACCTTCCAACAATCATAAATATCCTTAATGGAATTTAATACTGAATCTTTACCAAAGGTTCTCTGTATGACAGAATTTGCCTTATAAAATGTATTTCTCAAATAACAAGATTTGTATGTGAAATTACTCTTTGAACCCTGAGATGCAGAACAGATGCTATATTATCAAATAGAAAAACATAATCTCATTAAACTGCTCTTCAGTGACCAAGATCACTGCAAATGAGAATTAATATTTACACATTACTCCTAATATAATATAATGATAACAATAAAAAACAATATATTATAATATAAACAATTCTTTGTAAAATATTTCTTTTTTTGTATGTGTCAATACTGGGCTTAAATATTACATAAAATATGCTACAAATAATTGTTCTTTCACCCAATTTTTGTTGCAGTCAGAAAGCAAATGCAAAGTAGAAAGATGTACTCCATTTAAATGACCTCAAGCAGAATTTCAAAATGGATGATCATCTACTTTAACTTAGTTCCTAGTTATATTAGCACCTGAAACATGAAACAGTCAGACTTTTGAACCACTGACAACTGGCATTGGCATTTGTCTCTAGCTATGAGAGGTTTCCAATAGAAGGCTGTGGGCATATTTTGGAAATTGGCTTTGAGTTTAGTAAGCTTCTTCAATCGTTCTAGCTGGATTTTTTTTTTTTTTTTGATGATTTGCTACATCTTTTCATCATTACTTGTTGTTTCAATTATTTATACTTTCAAATAGAAATGGCTCTTTTCTTATCCCACCGGAATCAACCACTTCTAGATTAAAATTTTCTTCAGAACCTTCCCTCACACTGCTCACTTTCACAGAACTGATTGACATTTAGGGACTTGTTCTCTATTAGAAATTGACTTCATGGAATTTATTGCCTGGTTTGATCTTTTCGTCAGACTTACCCCATATCAGCAGACCAACATTTTGGTTCCTTATCATTTGTAAGCTCAATGCTTAATTTCCTTCTAGAACCTTCCTTTTTACTGATAAGTTGGCTAAGTGATTGGTACAAGAGCTCTTGCTTTCAGCTACTAATATTTCAGTGAAAGTCCCTTCCTTACTGAGCTTAATTGTTTCTAGCTTTGAATTTAAGCCAAGAGGCAGAGGACTTCTTTCAATTATACACAGTTGGCCCCACTTCATTATTACTCTGTCTCAAAAGCAAGTGAAGACTGAGGAGAGGGAAATATGGAAACAGTAGGAAATCACATTTAATTATTTAAGTTTGCCATCTGTGCCATGACTCCTCAGAGTAATTACAGTTGTAACCAGAAAGATCACTGATTGTAGATTACCAAACATATGTAATAAGAGTTCAAAATACTGTGAGAATTATCAAACTGTGATAGAGACATGAAGTGAGTAGGTGCTGCTGAACAAATGTGGTTTTGACAAACAAAATGACCAAATAAAAGATCAATTATTTATAAAATACAACCAAGAAAAAAATGTAGATATACTAGACAATATTACCACAACATCTTTTAATAATATATTCAGTGTAAGTATCTGTATGATATGATAAACAATACATTTAAATTACTTATGGATTTATCATCAAGCTGGGTTGTTAATTCATAAGACAACTAAACTAAAATAAAGCAGGAAAGGGGACATTAATGTGAACACACACACACCCAACTCCAAATGAGAACAGATAACTAAACAAACCTAGGTACATATTTGGAAAGTCAATGAGAACTTCTAAAACATAAGAGGAATACTTTTGTAAAGTATGACATCAGAGGATGTTAAATATGGAATAAAAAGTTGAACTCACTGGACAGAACAGCCCTACAGACTACAGCCAGGATATCTGAATCTTCTTCAAATCCCCCCAAGACAGCGCCCCTTACCAGCAGGAAGTAGTTTGGAAGGAACGACGCCCAAATTCCCGAATATTGTGTATAAATGTTTGTTTTCATTTAATTGGACTTTGTTATATAAAATTAAATAAAAAAAATTAAAAAAAATGTAAAAAAAAAAAAATCAAAGGGGGTTACTTCCATATCCTTTTCTTTGGAAGTATCTTCCTCTAATTACAGGATATAGTCCCAATTCTGTCACTAATTCTCTCTTGATCTTGAACCCATCTCTTAGATGATTCAAGTACTCATTCCTTGTATGTAGATGGGAAAAATAAAAGTTTGTTCTATCTACCTCAAAAAAAAAAAAAAAAAGTTGAACTCAACATACTGAGTCTCTTAAATTTCATGTCTAGGCATTTAAAGTGAGTTATATTTATCTATGGTTGGGAATCTTTGCAAGTTT